AATATTTTGACCCTACCATTTCATAAACTATTAAAAAAAGAAAAAGTTGAATGGGTATTTATACAAAGTTTGAGTTTGTAAACAATTTGAACTAAGTTGCCAAAGAAAAATAGGAGACTTGAACTTGGCATCTTATCGTCGTCAACAAATTTCAATGGGCCATGCATCATAAAAACAAAAGCAAAATTGGTTTTGTAATTTGAATTTACTTACACGTTGCAAGGAGAGTATGCTTAGAACATCCCTTATAGGACATTCATCCGTCCACCGTATTATATTAACTTATGTATAGTTGTGAGAATCGATTCAGTCATGAATCTAGCCATACTATCGGGTCGTTGGATTAGTGTTTAATATTATTTAAAAAAATTACTAATATCGTCATATCTTTACCTAATTTACTTTTTTCAACTCCTCGTGCTACTCTTCAATTACATACTAATAAAAAGAGTTTTGACATTGAAAATATTTTGACCCTACCATTTCATAAACTATTAAAAAAAGAAAAAGTTGAATCGGTATTTATACAAAGTTTGAGTTTGTAAAAAATTTGAACTAAGTTGCCAAAGAAAAATAGGAGACTTGAACTTGGCATCTTATCATTGTCAACAAATTTCAATGGACCATGCATCATAAAAACAAAAGCAAAATTGGTTTTGTAATTTGAATTTACTTACACGTTGCAAGGAGAGTATGCTTAGAACATCCCTTATAGGACATTCATCCGTCCACCGTATTATATTAACTTATGTATAGTTGTGAGAATCGATTCAGTCATGAATCTAGCCATACTATTAGATCGTTGGATTAGTGTTTAATATTATTTAAAAAAATTACTATTATCGTCATATCTTTATCTAATTTACTTTTTTCAACTCCTCGTGCTACTTTTCAATTACATACTAATATTTTTTGTTATTCTCAATCCAATTCCTATCATCATCGTTGCAAATTGCAGTAGAAACTACTAATGGGACAATTTCATTTGTACTGAAAGTTGTCCCCCCCCCCCCTCTCCCCGCACGCAAGCTCCACGTGAATATAAAAATCTCCAAATGTGGTCCACACCCTCTCTTGGGAGTAGTAGGTCAAGGATTAAATAAAAAAAAAATTATGTACATATAGCATGATCTCTACTAATAATGGCAAAATGTTGTCATCGTTCGAACTCTCAACAAACATTTGACTATCATTGACCCTTAAGTGATATGATGCATACGACTAGTACCTTTTGTGGGGAGCCCGTTGTGGATTACTCCTGCCAAGTTTTTAAACATATTTTAAAAGGTTAATATTTTCTTTAACGTGAAAAAAAAAAATAATAAAGAACTACTTATTTAATTTGATAGTATAGAAGTTACTTTGAACTCTTTAACCATAAAACATAGTAGTGTATTATTAACGGTTCTATTTAGAGGAATATATGTAAATACACATTTGGAAAAAAATCTACTTTTTCTATTTTTTTTTTCATCGAAAATAGGCTGTTAATAAAATTCTCAAAGGAAAAAAAATTTCCCCGTAGCAAGTTAAATTTAAAGGACTGATTTATTCCCCATTTTGTTGAATATAGTCTCTAATTAATTACTTGAGATAAGTTTAACATATATTGGCAATTGAAAATGGACGTTTGGGGAGTACTTGTATTGCTTCGATACTTAATTTTGATTGTATATTGATTATTTTAAGAAAAATCTGATGCTGGATGATATATGAAGAAAGGAAACGTAATCGATTGATAACAACTAAAAAGGAACAAATTACGGAATATGGGGGATTAAATTATTTTATAATTGAAAGATGAAGGATTCACAATGCAAATAGGAAGGGACTTGAGGTAAACCAATAGGAAAATTTAGGGACCAACTTGAACGGGAACGAAAGCATTAGACCACGCGATTGCAGAGTTTATACTACATGCACACGAGAAGAGAAAATATATCGCCATAAAAAATAATAATAATAATAATAAATAAATAAAAAATTGCCGAATTTAAGTCAACTTCTACATGGAATATTGTGATTCGTGCACGATTTGGAACTATAAATTGAAATTCAGGTGATATCTTACTATTCCAAACACGTTTTTGTAATTTTATGATGTTTGACTAATTTTTTAGATAATAGGATGACGATAACATTATATTTTGAAATTTTAATATGAATTTTACTTGGATGTTAAATATTTGTTTGGCTTGATTGATTGTTAGGTTATTAATGCGTTTAATTACTTGATCAATAATTGAATGAATTCGCAAGAACGGATGTAGGGGTAACTGGGCTGGGCTGTAATCCCCCAAGGCCCAAGAAATTTTTTTGTAGACATTTTTTTTTTTTTTGTAAAACAAACAAATAAATAAAATTCGCATATAAACCTGGCTTGAAAATTTGTAGCCCGATCTTGGATTTAATCCTGGATCCATCCTTGTGAATTCGTGATTCTTTTTTCTTGAGAGAAGGAATAGGAATTGTAGTAAGTAGTAACAATTTGACAAAAAAATATAAATATACCAATATGTTTTGCATGATCTTTTTAACTTTAATCCATTTTCATACATTCGCATTCTTCGAACAAATATAATAGGGTTATATGTGGAAATATGTTTAACATTACTTGAGAGAGATTATTAAATAAAACAATTGATCGTCGAGTTTAAATACGTATTGACAATTACTTTGGTTGATATTAAAATGGAAGAATATAGGGAAATTCGAGGTCCTAGTGATTTTAATTAAGAAATGTTTATAAACGCTTCGTAGTTTAGTTTAACGCTTTATATTTAGTTTGTTTATAGACTTTAAATTTACTATCACAGTCACCATACAATTTTGCTATTTCAGTTAAAGTTAATAATAAGCATGCAGTCCTCGTGAAAATGATAATTCAGGCTCTTAGATCACTTTATTACTTATCTATGCTACCCTATACATGTCAGTTATTAGCAAAACATGGTTGGAGTGAAGCACTGAATATGTTTTAGCAATATAAAATAAGATTATAACTATCTTTCTTCTTTAATATATAAATAGCCCCTATTTAATAGAGATTATATTTTTAGTAAATTTTAATAAAACTTGATAAAATATGTAGCTGAAAAACTGTGAGTCAATATTTGGTTAAAATTAATTGTCGACTTTGGTTTTAATTAAAAACAGGAGCACAAATAATATTGTTTACTTCACTTTACTATGTTTGGGTCATTGAAAATAACCTCCACCACTTGATAAATGAAAATTTCATTCTTGTATATCTCGATTTTCTGTTATCTTTACTTAATTAAAAAAAAAAAAAAAAAGAAAAAAAAAAAAAAAAAAAAAAAAAAAAAAAAAAATATCAAAATATTTTAATAACTTCCAGTGTCACACCTTGCTTTGTGTGTCTATTGTGTTTGACAATTCCTCGTGTTTAACATGTTTGTATTTCAAATAGGGCTGGATAAAACTCTCGAATCGAATCGAGCAGTTCTTTTAATTTAAATACTCGAACGGGTATCTGAATCGAAAATCGATGGGTTTAGTTCAGTTCTCGATTCTAGATTAAGAACTGAATTTCCCTATTTTTTTAATTAATTTATTTTAAATAAGCTAAAGTATTTTATTTTTCTAAATTAATTTGCTAACTAGTTAATTTAGCTCAATCCCAAAAATTTAATTTTTCTATTTCTAATTTTCAGTTCAAAGCCAACTTAATCAAATTAGCCTAAGTTTTATCCAAATCTGTTATTCTACCTTAGTACTGTTTCTACCGTTTTGAAGAAATCAAATTGAAACTCGACAACGCCTCTCTTAATTATTTTGAGCTCGATATCTTTCTTTTCTTGTGATTTTAAAAACTCAACAAAGAGAGACGCAAAAGATACATAAGATTGGAATACTTTAATTTTAAGAGCTAAGATTGAACATATCTTTAGTTGAATTAATGTAACTTTGTAAATATTAAAAAATTTAATTATAATACGGAACCTGAAAACCGAATCAAATCGAATTGAACCTTTAGTTTCATAACTAAATTTGAATCCGATGATTCCACTAACTAAATGTCCGAAAATTTTGGGTCCGGTTCAGTTCTCGTTAGAACCGATCCAAACCGGACCGTGTCCACCTCTAATTCCAAACTTGTGATGTTGCCAAAAAAAGCATCAAGTGGGAACAAATCAAAGTACAATTCTAAGCTTGTTAAAGTTGTTTTAAAAAATTCTATTTGTGTTATATTCAATACTAGGATTCCCATGAGATACATGATGTAAAAGTGTATATAATACGATTGTAATCAATTATATTAACACGGGATTTTATGATCAGATTTTTAAATGGTGAAATTAAAAAGTTAAAATGAATTTTGACAAGAGGTTTTTGCAACGTTTGTGCTATACGTACATAATGATTTATATACATATGATGTGGTGAGATATGATAGTATATATATATATATTCCATCATTTTTTTGACACCTCATCTATATATAAACCTTATGTAAATCCATTATATACAAGTATCATTATTCTTTTGGCAAACACCTTAATATTTTTGTTGTTCAAATCAAACTTTAATATTGTATTGAAACTCATCGAGAAATCAAGTCAATCATCCATTTAGATAGTTTAATGAAACTTATTTACTTGTTCAAACTCTAAGTACTTACCTTTGTTCTATGGTCGTGTAACAATATCTCGTGAACTCTACTAGCAAGTTACCAAAATAATGTATCTTAAGCTCATTCATATCTTGTTTATGGTCAAATTAAATATTTATTGAATTTGTAAGCTTGCTTGAATTTACAATGTACCTAAGAGTATACAATATCATACTCTAAAAATGGAGAAAAGAAGCAAAAAAGAAAAAGAGACATTGTAACTCAAGATAGCTGGAAAGATAAATTTTATTCTAAAAAGCATAATCTTTACTATGTAAAATTATTCTATGCTTATAATTTGCTCAAAACTAAGCAGGAAGTTTTCTAAAGTGATTTACAAAATTAAATTTGTCTAACAGATTCCCTTCTTATGACAAGCATAAATACAAGACTATGTTCCATATGTCATACAATTAAAAAAACATATTTTTCTTGCACTCCAACACTATATTTCCCAAGTCTCTGCACGACATAAAAATGCAAGGCTCACCTCCGGAACGAATGGTAACATTTTTCTTAAAAGTTTGTGTTTTTAACTTATATTGCTTATGATAATGCGTAATTGTTAATACAGGTACATTTTACTACTAGCTAATTAATGTTAATCCTTATTGCCTATTAAATAATCTGTGTTACATGAAAAATAATCATAAATTATTCTTTCAAGGGTTAGTTATATATAAAATTAAGTCATTTGAATGAGAAAATAATATATACGGTCAAATTCTAAGTCTAATTTCATTGTAATTTCATAAATGTAACAATTCTCCTCCAAAATTCATGCATTCACATAAATTCTCAATTTGAAAGATATTATACGTTTGTAGGTTAATTATTTTAGTCGATAGCCAGTTTCAAGTAAGGCATGGTAAAAAGGTTGGGCCAAAAAAAGTTTTAGTCCACCCCAAGTGGAAACTTTATTGCTACTTGCTCTATCCATTGTTTCGAGTGTATAATAGACAATTTTTGAAAAACATTTAAAGGATATTCAGTATAAAGATATTGATATGTCAAATTGGATGAGCCAGCCAACCCTAAACTGCTTGGTTCGCCCCAAAAAAGCTTAGCAACGTTAACTGGGCGACCTAGTCCACTCATTTTGACATGACTAAAAAAATAAATATAATTTTCATATCAAGATGGGATGTAAGTACTTTTTGGGTTGTATGTTTTGTAGTTTGTAGTACTTATATAAGTTTGGGTTCTATGAAGAATAAGCAGAAATTAAGTTATATATATCCTATATAATGTGTGAATTAAAAGCATGTGTAACCAACATAAAATAAAAAATAAAAATTGAAAATCTAAGCTTTGCCAAACATTCAGCCGAACCATTTTGATATGGTAAAATATTTGGTATCAATTTTATAATGTATAATTTAATGTGATAGGAAACCAATGTTTTACTAATTCTTCAATGATGGAAGACTATCAATTTTATTTTGTTCGACTTTCACTGTCCTATCATCAAACCACCTTATTAACGGCCTATAAGCCACTAATACTTGCGTGATAATAGTTGATTGATGCTGTCATCGAGTTCATTTATCATCAAGTCCTACAATTATATTATATCATGATCAAGTAACTCATTACAAATTTCAATCCTTAGAGAGAACAGTATATTTATTCGAATTTTATTATCAATACACAAGATGCTTTTTTTCAAATTTCCAACCTAATAATATGTGCAGACAAAATTTCATGCTCGCAACAAAATGTCCAAGGATGAGTGGTTGATTTGTATAGAGGAGGGTGATGAAGAACCAACAAAGAAACAACGAATAGCAAAGGTTCCATCGATGCTGCAAGAGGTCGAATCCAACAAAAAATGTTATGATCCTCTAGTAGTTTCAATAGGCCCTTATCATCATGGAAAGAAGGAGCTAGAAGCAGTGGAGCAGCTTAAATTTAAATTCGCAAATCAATTCCGCCTTGCCTGTGGTGATCGAGTATCGTCGATGAATCAGTTATATGAAGAGGTAGCGAAGGTGGTTCACTGTGCTCGAGAATGCTACGAGGAAGACTCAACTACAAAATATGACGATGAATCGTTCACCAAAATGATGTTTCTTGATGCCTGCTTTGTGCTTCAGTTTATGTGCATCTTAACAAAGGCAGAAACAAAAGAAGAAGATCAACTACCCACAATGAAGAGTTACCTCTGTGCTTTTGTGTGGAGGGACTTGTTCTTGTTAGAGAATCAAATTCCTTTACTAGTACTAAAAGTTTTGTTGAAATTCAGGTTCAGAGGTGATACAAATTTGATTAAGGATTTCATTAACCTTGCCACCAGCATAAAGCCACCTGAAAAATCTTCATGCACTAATTTGGTCAAGAAATTTGTCAATGAATGCTGCCTTGGTGGTCAAACAAATGACGAAAGAGAATTACAATTGGATGGAAACCCTCACCTTCTAGACCTAATGCGGACACATCTCATTGGGCCACCTAACTTTGAGGACATAATCATAAAGAAATCAGATCAATGGAATTCCTATCGTTCAGTAACAGAGCTCGAAGAAGCGGGAATTCATTTCAAAGCAAGTAAAACTCATTGTGTTACTGATGTAACGTTCAAAGATCACCTTGTTTATGGAACTATGATGCTCCCTCCTTTGGTGGTTGATGATACAACAAAACCTCTGCTATTAAACTTAGTGGCTTATGAAATGAGTCCTAATGGCCCTCATGATTCTCTCATTACGTCATACGTTTGGCTAATGGATTCACTCATTGATCATGCCAATGATGTTAAAGAGCTCCGAAAGAAGGGAATTCTCAACAACAATCTAGGCAGTGACGAACACTTGGCCACACTCTTTAACGAGATAGCTAATGGTTTGGTACCTGATCCTTCTGCATATGCACTTGCTAAGTGCCAGATTGAAACGCACTGCAAGAACAAATGCCGATTTTGGATAGCTGAATGGATGCACAAACATTTCAGCAGTCCTTGGACCGTCCTTGCCTTTCTAGCTGCAATTTTTGCCCTTGCCCTTAGTACGGGGCAAACATATTTTTCTGTTTTTCCACGATCCTAAAGAGACGAGCATCTCCTACAAGGAAAAGCTCTTCATTTGTAAAAGTTCATTTTTTTTACTGTTTGTTTGGATTTTGTTGTGTACTTCATCAATTCCTTGTATGTTGGTGTACTGTATAACATCTACTTGAAGATATTTAACAAAATATTGAGAAGAAAAATCCCTTCCCTCGTGTAAATTTCCTAAAACGACCATTTTCTATAATTTTCATCTTGTGGAAATTATATGTTAGGGGACCAGATTTTGGATCATTTTCCATTTTTTTTCTAGTTGAACCGACATGCCCAATTCAATTCTGGGGTAAGAATTATTCTACTCAAATAGGGCTACATAGGCCCTGTTTTTTTCTAGGGGGACGATAGGCACCCTGCCAATAGGGAGAGAGGGGGCACATATGTCTGTTTGAGAAGCAGAACCCCTAGGGTAAAGATGATTAATCCTCTTGCCATTTTTTGGGGAGAGAAATCTTGGTTTAGCGTAACTAGAATGTATTTACACATGGCGGAATTAGTATGGCTGTGTAACGAGTTTTAGAAAACTAAAGAAGTTTAGATGATTGAGTCTTGAAAAAGAAAATATATACATTTTACAAGCCAATTTTCAGTTATTACTACATTAAAAAGAAAATATTCTATGACTGCAACTAATTTTTGTGTGATATTGCTCATTGTCTTGCCATTTATTGCTATAATCATGAAAATCTTATTATGAAAATGGAGAAAAAGGAAAAATTACCACAATGCCACAACCCTCCACCCCTGAACTAGTTGACATTTGTTGGTGCTCTGGGCCGATACTTAATTTGTTAATTTGTTGCTATTGGTTCTAGCAGACAGAGCTATGGCTGCTGCCTTGGAAAGTACAACAACTGAAATACTCACTTTGGCTCACACACAAGTCTCAAATCAAATTATTGGCTTGAATGCTGAACATTGCTTCAATCTTGGCATAGATAGAAATCTTTTAGATTGATATGGCTTAGATGGCCATATCTGCCTAGCATGTGCGATTGATCAAAATAAATAAATTGGAATGATCAAGGGAATAAAGTAGTGACTTATTCTGCGCTATATCGTATTAATCTATTCATGGCTTCAAGGGCACAACTGTTCATAGAAGGTGAACTTCAGTGTACCAACACGAGATATATGAAGATGTGAATAGGCCTTCTTGAGTTACAAAAGCATTCTGAAGCAAGAAAACTAGCGAATGCAAGTTTGAGCCTTCACGTAAGGAGAAATAGCGACGGCTAATGATAAAACAGACAAGGCAGTCGAAAACTATAGTTTTTTAAAGTTCTTTTATTGTTCTATTCACTATAAGTCACCTAAAAGGGATTCATATTTAAGTTAACTTTCCTCACTAAGCAAGACGCAAACTTCTTTGAACCTATACAAAGTTTTGAAATAGCCTAAAAAAATTGCAGCCTTCATTGCCACATTATCCGACATTTTAAGGCAATTCTACACAGGTTTAGGAGTTCAAAAGCAGCACTAATTCCACCTAGGATGGATTCTAACATGCAAAAGAGTAACAGTATGTTTGGTATGAGTACAAAGAAAGTAAAACAAAGTTAAAAAAATCCTAGATGATGATGAATATTGTTGGGCTATATGACGTGACCATATTAACACCTACCACTATAATCTAACTATGATAATATGCTCACAAACCACTGTCCGTTTTATGCCACAAAAAAAAAAAACCTGGAAGGCAGGATTTATCCTGAAAGGCAGGAGCTCTACTGGAAGGCAATGTGCAAAAATGGGAAACGACTTGCTTGACACTTTGGCAGATCAGTTGGGGGGCTTTTGAGCACTAGTCAGTTTGGGGCACAACCTGCGGTTTAAACTGTTTGCAGCTTGAGGGGCTAAGGTGTAGACTCCAGGATTTAGTCACTGTAAGGTGGATACCTAGATAAAAAAAAACCAAAAAAAAAAAAAAAAAAGAACAAAAAAAAAGGGAAAAAAAAAAAGAAACCATGGGATTTTATAGAGATAATAGAGGTAAGATAAACATTACAAGTAGTGAAAATCCAGTAGACATAGCTAGCAAAGAAAATGAAATTAATAGCTTATCGAAATGATACCAATGGACTTAACTGTTACAAAAAATTACACTTCTGTGCAGAAAGACATGATCATTTGTTCTGCAGTTATGTACAATGATAAGTTCAGTCAACTTAATCCCTAACTTAGAATGCAGGAACTCGAAAAAGATGCAATGAAAAGCAGCTAACTCATATTGCATTTGCTTAAAAGGTCAAAACAATAAACAGATACTGCACCTCTGGGTTTACATACAGGGAACAGATATTGGGGGTTCTCATTCTTTATCCTGTACTAAATTGTTGATCATCTTTACCAAGGGAACAGTTCCTTTTGCCATGATCTCTATCCTAGAAGTATTGTTGGCATGAGCGAAAAGAGAGAGTCTAAAAAGTATGAGGTCTGGAAGAAATAGCCGAGATGACAAGAATCCATGCCAATAACGGGGTTCCAAGTCGAAAAATGCATTAAAAAACCTTCGGGTGGCTTGCAAATCAACCTTGAGAAGAATATCCATATCAAAATAAAAGAACTCTCTTTGTCATCTCCTTTCTACTGGCTACAAATCTTTCCAAACTTCTGAAGACAATTCCAAACCCAAAAGGCTTCTCTCAAAGCCTAAGTATTGAACTATTGCATTGGCGACAATTGGAGCAGCAGCCAGAGTCCTTGCCACCATATATCCAGTCGATGGGTGCACCATCCCAGCTGTACCGCCAATCCCAACAACTCTTTGAGGTAACACTGGAAGAGGGCCCCCATTGGAATTACACAATGCTCATCCTCTTTAATATTCCTAACTTTAATAACTAAGTGACTCAGCTGAGCTACCATTCTTTCCTTAATATCATCCATAAGCACTCCAGGACGAGCTACAAGGGATGTATCTTCAAGGAATATTCTCTTCGATGAAAATGGCATCGCATAGAGAAAAGTTGGAATCTTACTATCTCTCCTTCAGCTCTTTATTATTGTTGAGGTATAAGTCGCGCCAATTAGGGATGGCAATATGGCTCGTCGGCTCGGGCCACTCGTGGCTCGACTTGAAAAAGGTTGAGCTCGCTCGGCTCGAAGTTCGGAAGATTCAAGCCAAGGCTTGGGCCGAACCCCATTTTAGGGTGCGAGGCAAAGCCCGAGCCGACCCGTATGGCTTGTCGGCTTGGGCTCACAAGCCTATATTTAAAAAAAATACAAAAAAAATTATTTTTAAGGGCTGCCTTCTTCATAGATAAAATAGGGGAAAAAACACCAAAATCGAGCTTGCCCAACTCGACTCCAAAGCTCGGGTGGAGCCTAAATTTTCTGGCCGAGTCCGACTCGAGCCTAGAAAAAGCTCAATCATTTTACTCGAGCCAAGATTAAGCTTAAAATTTTGGCTCGCGAGTCGGCTCGACTCGCTCGTTGACATCCCTAGCTCAAATCCATGAACACCATTTTATTGACATCAAAAAGGTGCTCTTCCACTTCTACCAAAATCCTATAGGCTACTTGATAGCTGGGATTATATGGCTTATCATACTGTACAAGACATCTGGAAAATCCAGTTGCATCTAAAACCACAGCAACCTAGATAATAACACCATAATTACATATCCACAAAGATTTCAATTCCTCCTAAATTACTTTCACAATCTTGGCTTGATGAAATTTAACACCATTCGAAATGCATTTCTGCATCATTTTCGATGTTAGCTACTTCCTATTTACCCTCTAATAAGGTCTATCAAGATCCTTAGTTGTTTTGTCGTCAATGAAAACCATAGCACCCGACCTAGTGGTGTCAAGACAATCCACTTGAAGTTTTTAATTGGCAATCACAGAATGTTTGTCTATCATTATTCAGTTAAAATAAGTTTATAATTGTGAATTTTTAAAGAATGTGTAATTAAAAAGTAAAAATATAAAAATAAAAAGTTTCCAATTTACGTACAAAATATTTTATTGTGCAAATATGTGATTTAAAATGAGTTTGAGCAAAAAAGAATTTTGAAATAATGGTAAACAAACATGGACTAAATTTCACGACGTAAGAAAAATATTTTTGTACTTTTATCTACCATCAACCTTATATTTTTGCACCAAATATCTCAATTTTCCAAAATATAGCAAAATTTGTCATTCTACTATTCTAACCACTTAAAATGGCGAATTTTATCTATCTTTAAATGATTTTTTTTAAAAAAGGAAAGAAACTAATTAAAAATAAAAGAAAAATTATCATAAAAATTTTGAAAATTCATTCTTTTGAAAACTCATTTCCAATCACGCATTCTTCAATAAAATAATATTACACGTAAATAAATAAAAAATTCCTTAATTTTGAATCACACATTTTTCACCAATCTAATATTCAAAATGCATTATTTTCCCCAAAATGGGGCTCAAATAATGGCTAAATCTTTTTAAAATTCAATCAATTCAATTCACCTCACAATCTCCATCCAATGCACATTAAGTATGAGTAAATTTAATCAATGCTCGCTGAACTTTAGTTTACATTATTACTTGATCACCAAACTATAAAATATATCTCATTACTCACTCATTTATTCAATTACTTACCTATCCATCACCTATTTAATCTCCACCAACTTCAATTAACGGAATATGCCACGTGTACAAACTTTAAATCTGGCCAATTGGGCCAAAATCGCTACAAACCCAGCAATATAATAACACGCTATTATGTAGCCTAAACAAGGGAACCCTGACTTCATGAACCCTAGCAATCGTCCCCAAAATCCCAACTGAAATCTTGAATTTCATCTCGAATGTTTGAATTAAAATATGCAAGGAGCAATGTGCAATGCCTATGTACTTAGACCAGAAGGATATCTGCAATTTTGCATCAGAGAGGATTGCCGCTGAGAGAGAGAGAGAGAGGAGAAATTGGAGATGTTGTGAGTCTTGATATGACTTTCACATTGTTCTACATTGTAAATTCTTTCTACGAAAAGTATTCATTACTCTTCTAGTTATCAAAATGCTATAGGGTTTTGTTTCAAATTCAAGAACCGAGTGACGATGTTTCACTGGAAAAAGGGGGATTTTCCCATAATGCTAATGTTCAGGGAAAACACAAATGTTGGCAATCAATTCTCTTATAATTCATTGATATTTAATATTATATTCCTTGGCTTTTGCAATTAGTGCTCCACGATACAAAACAAAAATTATAGTTATGAATTTAATGAAGAGAAAAATAAATAGCATAGCCGTTCCACCCCATATAATCCATAAAAGAAGAAACAAACTATTCTTGTTTCCTGGAGCATGTAGAAATTGAGCTCTCCTTCTCTCCTTCAACTCATTTCCCTTGTAAACCAAAAGGGTTTTTCTTCCCAGTTGAGAAAATATGGAGAATTCAGAAGTGGAAAAGACTCCTGCGCCGCTCGCTAGACGTAAAGGAGGTATTCAGACAATGCCTTTCTTTATAGGTAAATTTTATATCTTTAGTCAAGTCGAATACTGCATATAAAGTATGCCATGATATATATATATATATATATATACACACACACACACACACACACACACAGCAAGTGAGGCATTTGAAAATATAGCAAGTTTTGGACTTTTTAAACCGATCTTGAAGTATTAGCAAGTATAGTTTTAATTGGCAGCAAAATCAAGTTGTTTTTGGCTTGTGTCTGTGCCCACCACATTCTTGTAGACCTTTGCTAACTGAAAAACAATGCAGAGCTTCATATTAAGTCGATATATAATTAAACTGAGTCGTAATTCTTTAAATAAATTCTGAACCCACTTGAAGTGTCTCTTCTTCTACTACAATACACAATGAAATCGAGATTTTTACTATCATATCGCGTAATTGAGATTAGGGCTTAAAACCTAAGTCCCGGATCATAATTTGTGAAGAAAAACACAAAATTAGCTCAAAATTGTGCAGTTCGAGGAGAAAGACTCACAGATGCTGCAGCCTGGCCACTTCCAGTGCCAACATCCCAAACGAGATCGTGAGATGGAGTTTTTGTTGCAATGAATTGGAACAATTCCTGTGGATAACTGGGCCTTGTCTCTGAAAATTGCTTTGCCTGCTCAATAAACAAATCTGCCAATTCCCTCTCTCTCTCTCTCTCTCTACATATATTTCAATGATCGACAAGGATTATATAGTTTCTACCAGGTGATGCAAGGTAAAAAGGCATGAACCGAGAAGCTTCTTCAAGTTTGACCAATCCTAGTGAGATGGGCGTGTTCAATTTCCCTTCCGGCATTGGCGTACCTCGATTTACAAGATAATTGTTTTTTTTTTTTTCCGACATTATTTTATTTTCGCACAACATTATAGCCCCACTTTGGTTCAGTTATAAAAAGCTGATTAAAATAAAACTCAAACTTAATGATATATTTTTCACACATTTCATGTTACTGAGATGGACAATGTTTGTTCTAAAACCGTCGACGAAGCTTAAAATTATTAGTGTAAAACTCAATGTCTCAATTGCTCGACACATAGATCCTACTGACTCATTTTCTTAGTTCAGAAACTCCAATCTTTTATAAACTTGAGGACACAATTTACTAAAACTCAACTTGATTATACATTTTTCTACATAAATAAAATTAACTTAAGCATCGAAGTGTCTTCAGCCAACCAATCTTTGATATTTTTCAGGCTAGTCAACTAGTCTTACAACACTTTGTTTGCACATTTCAACAAACACAAAAGACATAAAGAGTTTCAACGTTGGAAATATTTTGACTCTACCATTTCGTAAACTATTAAAAAATAAATAAATAATGCTGAACGGTATTTATACAAAGTTTGAGTTAGGGGGTGTTTGAGAGCCATTTTTATGTATAAATGTATTTTAGAATAATAACTTGATTAGAAGTGTGTGGTTGAAAAATAAGGAAAATTTTTTGATTTACGTATAATATTATTTTAATAAAGAATATATGGTTGAAATGAAAAGAGGAAAAAATGAATTTTGAAAAAAATGGGTACCAAACGAGGGCTTAGTAAACAATTTGAACTAAGGTAGTGTTTGATAACCTTCAATTCCATGGAAAATGGAAATTCATTTTCACCTTTTGCCAAAAATGAGTGTTTGATAGGTAAAAAATTCTAGGGAATTCATTTTCCATGATTCTTGCCACCTAAGCAATTTTCCCACTTTTCCTTGAATTGGAATTCTCACCATTTTTGGTGAGAATTCCAATTACGGTTTACTGTAGCGGAACTTTTTTTTTTCAAATTTTTTTTTTTTTTGCAATGAAAATAAATTATAAAAATTATTGTAAGAAAATATTTCCCTTTAATTGATAATTTTCATGTAAAACAAAGTCAAATGAACATCAAAAGATAGATGATTTTCTTGAATTTTTTTTCTTTTTTTTTTTTAGCAATGGAAACAAATTTCATCCACAATACCAGTAAATTCTATCCTTTAATCGAAAATTTTCATATAAAACAAAACCAAACGAACACCCAAAAAACAGTTTAATTTAAACATTTTTCACGTGGAAAATTATACCAATCAAATACAATAAGAGTGTGTTTGATTGACAAGGAAAATATCACCTAGAAAAGAAAATATTTTTCATCTTTTGTGGAAAATAAAAACAACCTCTACCCAAAGAAAATGTTTTCCTTAAAAATAAGGAAAATTAGACATATTTTCAAAAGTTGGAAAATGTTTTCCATGGAAAAAATAGCATTCAAACACTCTAAGACCCCGTTTGATTGCATGAAATTTTCCATGGAACTTGGAATTCGAATTCCAACTTCCACTTTTAGCCTGCTTGATTGACAAAATTTTTCAGGGAATTGATTTTCCATGAATATCTAGGTACAACACCTTAAAGCGTGATTTTCCATCTTTTATTTTCCTAGGGGATAGGTGGTTTTTGGTTTTCCACCTTTTTTTTTTTTTTTTTTTGCTTTTTGTCCTTTTTTTTAATTGTTGGCAATGGGAACAAATTTTAGGAATAATTGTAAAAGAGGATATCCCTGAAATTGACAATTTTCATGTAAAACAAAGCTAAACGAACACCAAAAACACTTTTACTTCAACATTTTCTACGTAGAAAATTATACCAATCAAACAAAATAATTTACAATTCCGTGGAAAACAATTTCTAGGTAATTCAATTCCCTAGAATTCATTTTCTTTCCACCCAAATTCCATCTTCGCAATCAAACAGACTCTAAATAGGAATTTGCGTGGAAAACTGATATTTTCCATGGAAAATAAATGTAATCACACACCCTAATTTATAATTCCCAAGAAAACAATTTCCCATCAATTCAATTCCCTGAAATTCTTTTTCTTTCCATCCAAATCGTATCTTTGCAATCAAATGAACCCTAAGTTGGCTAAGAAAAATAGGAGACTTGGACTTGGCATCTTATCATCACCAACAAATGTCAATGGGCCGTGCATCATAAAAACAAAAAGCAAAGCTGGTTTTGCAACTTGAATTTACTTTTTACACGTTACAAGAAGAGTATCCCTCATGGGACATTCATTCGTCCATCGTATTATATTAACTTATGCATAGTTATGAGAATCGATTCAGTCATGAATCCAGCCATAGTATTGGGTCGTTGGATTAGTGCGTAATATTATTTAAAAATTCTATCATCGTATGACGCCGGGTAGGATAGTGATTATCCTATTGGCTTGTTGTAGCAGATGATTCGCAAGAAAAGAACGATAGAAAATGCCCAAAAAACAGGGAAAATACTCTGAATTCAACTCAATATTATTAATAATGCAGAATGCTGAAAACTAACCCACAAACCGGGTTAAATAGCTGCGAAATACGAAATTATTGAAAAATTACCAAAAATGGCAAAATCCCGAAATTATACCAAAATAAAATATTAAGTAAAAGAAGTAAGTCGCCAAAAATTTGGCTTAATTCGAGTTCTCTAACATATAGAAAAAAGGAAACTAAATATTACCATAAATAGTAAAAAATAACTTAAAATTGAATTTTGGAAAGGAAAACAGTGGATTTTGGGTTTGAAATTGACGTCCACCGAGCCAAAGTTATGGCCAAATTACCAAAGAGAGCTTTCCGAATTGGGGTCATAATAGCGATTCCGATAACCGTAGCCAAAGTTATGGCCAAATTACCAAAAACGCGTCAAAATCTCCCAATTAAGGAAATAATGGTGATTTACTTTCCATCTTTGCGCCGATCCGCCATCTCATGGTATCTCAGCGTCATCATCGTGCAATCTGACAAATCAGCATCATTTGACTCGGATCCTCCTGCATCATCGTATCTTTACATTTTTTACTTTTCTCAACTCCAAGTGCTACTCTTCAACTACATACTAGTAGTTTTTGTTATTCTCAAATTATTACCTATCATCATCGTTGCAAATTGCGGTAGATTTACAAATAATGGCAAAAGGTTGTCATCTTTCGAGCTCTTAATGAACACGTGACTATCATTGACCCTTCAGTAATATGATGCACACGACTAGTGCTGTTTGTAGGTAGCCAGTCGTTCTGTTACTCCTACCGAAATTTTTAAACATATCAGGATAGGTTAATATTTTCTTTTCAAAATAAATGGAAACTACTAATCTGATATAGTATAGAAGTTACTTTGAACACTTGCAACCACAAAACATAGTCATGTATTATTCATGGTTCTGTTTAGGTGAATATATGTAAATACACATTTGGTAGAAAATAATAATAATAATAATAATAATAATAATAATAATAAGGTTTTTCATCGAAAAGAGGCCATTAATAAAATTGTCAAGGACAAAAAAATTTCCGTTACAAGTTAAATTTAAAGGAATGATTTATTCCCCATTTTGTTCAATATCGTCTCTAATTAATGACTTGTGATAAGTCTAACATATCTTGGCAATTGAAAATGGACGTTCGGGAGTAATTTTATTGCTTTGATACTTAATTTTGGTTGCATATTGATTATTTTACGAAAAATTCAATGTTGGATGATATATGAAGAAAGGGATAGTAATCAACTGTAACAACTAAAAAGGAACAAATTATGGAACATGGGGATTAAGTTGTTTTATAATTGAAAGATGAAAATTCACGATGCAATTAGGAAGGGACTTGAGCTGAACCAATAGGAAAATTTAGGGACCAACTTGAACAGAAAGGAAAGCATTAAACCATGCGATCACAGGGTTTATACTACGCTACCATCTGATTACAAGTCACTATACCATACAATCGCATGGTCGTTCGTTGGAGGAAAAAAAGGGTTTCCTAATTTAAGTCAACTTCTACATGGAATATGTGATTCGTGCACAATTCTAACCTAACCTTGGAACTATGAATATATATTTTCACCTATAATTGAGAACAAGAAGCTTTTATACAAAAGCATACATTTTATACACAAATTCATGACCTTTTTCAAATTTTGGGAGAAAAAAAAAAAGGAGATTTAAGAAGAGTAGTAAAGAATTGTAGAGGAGATTCGAGATTATTTTTCTTCTTCTTTTTGTAATTAAAATTCGAGTGATATCTTACTATTCCCAAACATGCTTTTTTATAATTTTATGATGTTTGACTAGTTCATTAGATAATAGGATGACGATGAACATTATATTTTGAAGTTTTAATGTTAATTTCAATTTTATGTTAAATACTTGTTTGGCTTGAATGATTGTTAGGTTATTATTGCTTTCAGTTACTTGATCCATAATTGAATAGATTCGTGATTCTTTTTTTTTTTTTAGAGAAGGAATAGGAATTGTAGTACGTAGTAACAAGCATTGTGAAGTATGATAAAGAATATAGATATATCAATATGTTTTGCATGATCTTATTATGAATGTTCTTGAACTTTAATCCATTTTCATTTATTCGCATTCATCATACAAATATAAAAGTGTTATATGTGAGAATATAGTTAACGTTACTCGAGAGTGATTATTAAATAAAAAAAATATTGATCGTCGAGTTTAAATAAAAATTGTCAATTACTTAGGTTGATATTAAAATGGAAGAATATAGGAAAATTCGAGTTCGTGATTAGTTTAATGCTTTATATTTGCAATCACCATCACCATACAATTTTGCTATTTCGATTAAAATTAACTAGAAACCTATATTTAAAGACTAATATTTAAAAAAACAAGGAGTTTAAATTTCATTTCAAAATTTGATAATTAGGTTTTAATAATTATATTTAATAAAATCATAATTTAACCTCACCCCACCATCGCCAAACCCAACTCCACTCCCAATCCTACTTATCCCAAAATTGAATTCATGTTTACCCTCATCCTCACCGT